CACACACACAAATACACACTCACCATTAATCACACTTTGCTGCAGGAACCCCCCCAACCACACACACACACCCTCCACTCTTTCCCCCTAAACTCAGTTGAGTCAGAGTTCCAGTGTAACAAAGGGAAAAATATGTATATGAATATAATAACTCTTTATTCTTAGGACGTCTTTGCGGTCCATAACTTACAGCTGAATAGGAACATTTTGCTTTCTATAAATGTTATTTCTATGAAAGGAACTTTTCTGAAACAAAGTAAGTGATTAATGAAAATAAAGTCAAAGCTGGTATGAGCCAGACTATAAATGCCTCCTGGCTAGGGAGAATGAATACCTTTTGTAATATAATAGAAAGCAGTGACATATGTAAAGACTAGTTGTATGAAAGACATTAATTGTGATTCAAAATGGAGGAGGTTCAAAAATATTTCCCACAGCAGTGACAAATCCATAGGCTGTTCTTGTTTAGGCTTCCATCCATTACTGAACTTTGACCTTTGTTTTACAGGCACAACAGTCACCAAATGTTTCCTTTAAGTTCAAGCATTCTTTACCAAGTCTCTAACATCATCACTTTATGAAACCAGGTCTCAAAGTGGACGTTTCTGGAAGTTTCACTGAGGTGTGAAGTACTCCACTGGTGTGAAAAGGCACATGCTAAGAACACACAGCTGAAGGTTGGTTCTGCACATGCAAAGGCAGATAATAACAAAAACAATGGTGGACAGCATTGTACTGTGTGCTACTTAACTTGCTCAGTCTAACAACCTCTGATATGGAGTATATGAGTATATGAGCACCTGGTTCATCAGAGACAGGTTACTGTTTTCTGAATGAGGTGGAAGCTAAAGGTCAAAGAGCATTCACGTTGCAATGGTGTGCTAAAATCAGAGCGCCATCTAGTGCCCTGGCATGACAACTGTAGCAGAGTAAGATTGTCTCATCCAAACATGAAACTTTTCCCCATCAACATCCGGAAATGCCAGCAGTTGCCGTTTCCATGAGAGTCACCCTCTGCAAGTCACTTTGATGTCTGAGTGGTGCACCTCCAGTCTAGCAGGTTTTAGACAGATTCTTGGACAGAATTCTCTATGATTTGACACCATGTTTCTTTTGAGCGTGATGAATTGATAACACTGATTCTAGGAGCGCCGTGTGTCGAGGCTGTGGTTTTATTAGTGGATGTCTTGGGTTCATTTCCCAGTCTCAGACTTTATGCTGTATGTCTTCCTGTTCTCTCTTCAACCTATTTCCTGTTCAATAAAAGCCAGTAGTGTTCAAAACTCCTTAAAAATGCCTATGATTCGATGTGTTACAGAGTTATTTGACCTGCAGCTGGATGGTGAGAACCCACATAACCACTGATGGCTGTAGACGGACGATAATGGCCATTAATGGGGTTCAGTCAAGTGGGAAGTAGGTTTCACAATCTCTGTGACAATGTGTAATCAGGAAATGAGGAAATGAAAGCGTCTTACATTGCCATGTGCTTGATATAAGAAGAATCCTTGTGGGTTTCTAGTCTGCTGGAAACATGAAAGCAGCAGCAACTTCTGACAGGTTAAAAGCCTGCTCTGCTGAATCTATAAATTACTCGAGTATTGTCTGATGGAGTAAAACTTCCTGGCAGCAGGGCAACATATTTCCAAAGTGTTACGAGTCACTGACTTTCTGCAAGGTAACCTCTCATTGTGAGATATGATTTTCATCATTTCTACGTCCCCATTGATCTGTGCAATAGAAGCTGCCTTCAAATTCTCCCCTTCAAATCATTTACTGTAACTCAATAATGTCTCTGCTTTGTGTGATCCACCATGCATTGTTGGAGTGTTTGTGGCAGTTTCTTTCATTGTTTCTAACTAGCCTGCGCTTCAGACCATCATGAAAGGGGATAAAGCACCCAACATTTAGGAAGCTCAGCAGCATCCCCATGTGTCTGTACTGTGAACTGCACATGAACGGGTCTCCTCATAAAAATGTGAAATACTGTTTGAGTGAGAGTATTGCTCTGGTCGTTGTTTTCAGATAACACAGTGAAAGGTCAGGCATGTCTGGGGATTGAGGTCCATCCTAAGTCAACTGCAGGAGAAAATAATAGAATGGATGATGACAAAGAAGAATAGATGGAGCAGGGAAGGAGGCTGGAAGAAGGGAAATGAGAAGAGGTGATGAGGAGAGGAGATATTACGAACCCATCCAAGCTGTCAGAGTAAATTAATAAAGTCACAGTAATCTGGGCTGCTTTTTCAGCCAGCGACTCAACAGCTTCCAATAGCTGTAGACACAGTCAAGCAATCATTTAATAGTTTATTTATCCTAAATGAAAAAGGAACATAGACACATGAAAACAATAACAGATTTTACCTTCAGTCTGTTGATCAGTGAGTTTCAAGTCAATAAATCTCATTTTGATTCTAACAGAAAAGGCTCCCCTATGTTCCTCCAGTCGAGACCGACAGGCAGGGTAAGACGACTGTCCTCTGACAAGCAACATATTCCATCTGTTTTTTAATTTACAAATCTGTGCAGGAGTAATCAAATCCTTAAAATACAAACTCTTACCACAAACAAAGTTCAGATATTAATATAAATATTTAATGGTTTCGTTGGCATTGCATTTTCTGGTGACTTTACCTCAGCTAACACACTCTGGTGTCTGGTAACACATGGTTTATAACCACAACATGCTGGAAATCAGATGCTTCTTTTTTTATTCCATATATTCTGCCCTTCACTGTCAACAAAAGGAAAAATATACAGACTGAAAAAATAGAATACATTATTTAAAAATACATATATGATTGAGTGTATGACTCCCACACAGCCAAGCTGTTTTGACAATAATGACAGGCTTTTTCCTCATTAACTCTCATATGCTTGGCTGTTAGTCTTCTACATGGGTTGGAAACAAACAAACTATGTCTTCCAGACTCATTAAGAGTCCAGAAAAGTCCAAAAATACTGAAGAAATACACAATTTTATACTTTAATCTTTTATTAATTAAAGGACTTCCTGCTTATTCAGCAGATTTTCAGACCCACAGTAGAAGAATATTCCCCTGGCAACTGAAAGGTTGTGGGTTGTTCTTCCAGTTTCAACGACCATATGTCAAAGTGTCCTTGGCAAACACATGGAACTCCAAGTTGCATTGGAATACTGTGCAGTGAAGTGTGGATGTGTGTGAATTGGTGAATGTGACTTGAAGACTAAAACACTCTGACTGATTATTAAGATTAGAAAGTGTCATTTAACATTCAGCCAGACTAATCCAGTAAAAAGGTTGGTGTCTGATTCTTTAAAGAGCTGAAATGTCAGCTGCTGAGTTGGATGGTTCCAAATATCTGAATGTGACAAGGTTTGAAAATATTCCTGTGGTAGGTTTGCCCTTCATTATTGAAACTGATTCAACTGACTTTTAGTAAATGTTACTTTGCCATTTAAAAGTCCAGTGATGGCAGTGCATGAAGCATGGGCGCTGTGGTGAATCTTCATTTGCCTGCAGCGCGTCCAGCTAACTGCCTGCTTCCCACCCAAAGCCTGATGCTGGTTGGGTTTAGGCCAGATTTTTTGTGGCTCAGCACTAAAGTAAAAGCTCCTAGGCATTTTGTCTCCAGCCTGCCATCCTGTCATCAACAGTAAAAGCCCTCCATTTACAGGACACAGAGCAGAGAGGGAATTCAGTGTGCCATGGGGCAGCAGTTACACAGATAGATTACCTGCAAATCCCACCCAGGGGGGAACTGAGAGCAAAGACATCAACAGACTACACTCACACACACACACACACACACACACACACACCCACACCACATAAATATACACACATAGTTCTCTTGAGTGAGAGCATATGCACAGCAGGGCACTTTGGGCCAAATCGCGTCATTCCTGATTCAGGAAGAGGATGGTGGTGCAGATGCAATCTGACTGGCAAATGTGAAATGCAATGGGAGAAAGGGAACATAAGGTCAGGGTGGTGATGGAAAGTCATGATAATGATTGAGTCTAATGGCAAAGGTCCTAATGGTGGAGCTGGACCACCTGCATGCTAACACAGATGGAGAACAGACAGACGTAGCACCGTTCATACACAAGCTGAATCTGAAAACTTTGAAACTAAGTCAGTGTGGTGTGAACATGGTGAAGGAAGTCAGTCTCAGTGACATAGTTTCAAAATGAAAAATTTCTTAAATTACTATATTTTACGCATTATGTCTCTCCGTAGAATAAGTCGCATCAGTCAAAAAATGCATCATGAAGAGGAAAAAACCATACATAAGTCACATTTATGCATAACTTGTCCAACATGAGGTGGGCTTTATTCATGTTAAATATATGATCCAGTGACATGCTGTGTTCAGCTTCCTGCTTTTCAGCAAACTCAGAGAAAATGTCAACTTTGGTTTAAAATCTGTTCGAAGTTTCCGGCGAACTGATGTCTGTGCTCTGATAGAGAAGAGTTTGGATTGCAAGAAGCAGGTAACACCAAGAATGCTCGCCTGCAAAGTTATTCATTTCCATCTCCTTGGCAACAAGTCAGGTGTGGAGACGTAGCTGCCCTGTCTCTTCCAGCAGCACGCTCTTCAAGCACCAATCTAACTTAGCTTTCCTTGTGGAAGCAGACAGTAATGTTTCCTCCTTGCTTCACGTCAATCAGTATGAATTCACGTTTAAGTCATCAATCAAAAAAAATGCATCATGAAGTGAAAAAAACCCACATATAAGTCACACCTGACTATAAGTAGCAGGACCAGCCAAACTATGAAAGAGTGCAACGTATAGTCTGGAAAATAAGGCAAATGCAAGAAACATTTAAACAAATATTAACAAAATGTCACAGACACACAACTACACAGACATGAGTTTCAAACTTGTGAATAAAGTTTTCAGAAATGACAGAGAAAATTCTCCATGTTCATACGCTTTTATTGGGAGATATGATGACCAATTGCTTGGAGAAAATCTTCATGTTAAGACATTTATTTTCTGGTAAATTGTCAATAAAACTAATAAATAAAAATATGAATATGTGGTTATTTAGACTTCCAGTTTATATTGCTAATTTCTGAGATAAATCATTCTAATAAGTACTGTAAAAAACCCATTAGCAATTATTGTGTTTCAGTGCATGGAAAGTCCTATAATATCACATGATTTTACTCTAACTTTTTTACTCTAAACTAAAATATAATACAAAATACAAAATGATAAACGTAAAAACAAACATCTATACAAAGATTTTAACTCAGCCATATTTGACATAAGACTTGTCTTTCATCATTCCTCAGCTGAAGCGAAACTCTCCACTACTACTGGTCAGCAGGTACTACCTCCAGGATGATCTGCATCGTTCTGTTGAAGGAATCTGTTGGTACAGAAATAAAACAGCTTACAAATAACTCCTTCCATTTCACAACCAAGCAATAATGTTCCGTTCACATTTATAGACAAAACTATTTCTGCAGAGCTCATCAAAGCAATCTATACTTTATTTAGATCATGTTAATAAATTCTTTCAATGCCTGATGTAGAGATGTCTTGGTATCAAGTGACAAAGGACAAAAATATCAAAGATTAACAGGGGAAACCTTATCAATGGTGTCTTTAAAGTTTTAAAGGACTGTTGTCCCTGGCATTAACATCTCTCAGGCCATACAGGTCTTGCTTTAGTTCTATGAAGACCAGATAGTTCATGAGAGCATCCCTGACCCTGCATACTCCCTCACCCTCAGCTCTCACTGGCTCAGGGGAACACAACCATAAGATCCAAGAATCACATGTGAGCCACACAATCATGACAGACATTCATTTTGCAAAGAAGCCATCATATTAAATGGATGTTTGTGCTGAGTTACCTAAAGCTTTTTGAAGCCACCTTGGTCTGCTGAAGTAAATAAAAATGTAGTAGGCAGGGATGCCAGTGAGGGACATGGCGAATCCAACCCCTGTGTTAAACGGGTCTGAGTACAGTGACAGGAAGACCATGAAGAAACATGTCAAACAGAACACCACGGGGATGAAGAGTGGCACCTGTGGACGAGACAAGATGGAACTGATGCAATATGATGTATGTTTACACTGATGTGGTTTCAGAGTTCCCATGATCTGCATTTGCAGATCAGAAGAACAATATTTCTTAGAAAATGAACAAAAATACCACAGAAGGGGAATTAGGTCTATTCTTGGCACTGACTGTTATTTTGAATGACTCAAAAAGAGCCTACAGTTTGAAAGTTTTCTAATTATTAGAATACTACCAATAACCTCTGTTACAAAACCCGAACATTCAAAGGCATATGGACCAACTAAGGGACCTGCAAGGCTGCAGGACTTGGCAATTTAAACTCTTAGCAGTCAGCAAAAGGTCTACTTAAAAAATGCATGAAATTTCATCATGTATGAAACTTTGTATAACAATAGTTGGTTAAAATATTGTGACACTGACCTTAAAGGGTCGGGGGAGATCTGGTTTGGTATATCGGAGGTAGATTAAACCCAGAACCACCACACCAATAAACAGCCACCGCAGAAAGCTCATGAAGTTAAGAAGGCTATAAATGTCCCCCACAAACAGCTGGAGTATGGTCATGGGATACTGCAAATTCAGATACATACAACTTGTTATTAAAACATGAGATTTTAATGATGTCAGTATTGTCTGTTGAAGAAAAAACAAGAACTGAAAGCGCACTGACCAGTATAAGGACAGCAGCCAGTGGAGTGTGTCTGCGGACATGGATCATAGACAGGACCTCAGGAAGCTGTCCTTCACGTGAAGCTACATAGAACATTCTAGATAACACAAACACCAACTCATATAAACATAGAGAAATGGGAACAGTTTGACAGTAGCGTAAATGCTCCCACATACTTGGGAATACTTCACTCCACAGAGGTCCATGTGTACTCAAAGTGTATTCAAAGAGGACTCAATGCAAACTGAAAATGGGCACATCCTCAGGTAACACTTTCACATCAAACGGTAACACTTTATTTGAAGGGGGGTGAATAAGACTGACATGACACTGTCATAAACATGACATAACACCTGTCATGAA